CGTCCAAACCTGAGGTCGTTCCTCCAGCCCGGGCTCGCCTTCACGTTTGAGATGTTTGGCGTCTTCCCTCTTAAACAGCCTGCCTTCAAGACCGGGACTCTGGGACCGGCGCCTGGCCCCCTTTTCCTCTACTAAGACTCCACTTTCCTCGAACCCCCTTCCTCAGATTCTTAGTTCCCCGGGTTGGAGACTGCTCACTTCCTTCCAAATTAATCCCTGCCCCACGTCCCCCAATACTGGCAATCTTGACAGTCCCCTCAACGGAGGGACCAGACTTCTTTTGGACTAACCTCCAGAGTCCTACCATGGAGGCGGTGTACCTGGTATTGAATGGGGTGGGCCTGGTGCTGGACGTGCTGACCTTGGTGTTGGACCTCAACTTCCTGCTGGTGTCCTCCCTCCTGGCTTCTCTGGCCTGGCTCCTGGCCTTCATCTACAACCTGCCACACACGGTACTGACTAGTCTTCTGCACTTGGGTCGTGGAGTCCTATTTTCTCTGCTGGCCTTGATAGAAGCCTTGGTCCGGTTCACCTTTGGGGGCTTGCAGGCCTTATGTACCCTGCTCTGTAGCTGCTTCTCTGGCCTGGAGAGCCTAAAACTCCTGGGGCACCTAGCCTCTCATGGAGCACTTCGGAGCCGGGAGATACTGCACCGGGGCGTCCTCAATGTGGTCTCCAATGGCCATACTCTGCTGCGCCAGGCCTGTGACATCTGTGCCATTGCCATGAGCCTGGTGGCTTACGTGATCAACAGCCTGGTCAATATCTGCCTCATTGGCACACAGAACCTCTTCTCTCTGGTGCTGGTTCTGTGGGATGCAGTGATGGGACCTCTGTGGAGGATGACAGACGTGATGGCTGCTTTCCTAGCCCACATTTCCAGCAGTGCTGTGGCCATGGCCATCCTCCTTTGGACCCCCTGCCAACTAGCACTGGAGCTGCTGGCCTCAGCTACCCATCTCCTGGCCAGCTTTGTGCTTGTCAATCTCACGGGCTTGGTATTGCTAGCTTGTGTGCTGGCAGTGACAGTGACCGTGTTGCACCCGGACCTCACCCTGAGGCTGGCCACCCGGGCACTCAGTCAGCTCCATGCCCGGCCATCCTACCGCCGTCTCCGAGAGGACGTCATGCGGCTGTCTCGCCTAGCACTAGGCTTGGAGGCCTGGCGCCGAGTCTGGAGCCGCAGCCTACAGCTGGCCAGCTGGCCAAACCGGGGAGGGGCACCTGGAGCCCCCCAGGGAGGACCTAGGAGGGTGTTCTCAGCCAGGACCCAGAGACAGGACATTCTTCCTGAAGTAGGGCACAGATTAGAGGCAGAAGAGGAGGATGTCAGGACCATCAGAGTGACACCTGTCCGGGGCCGGGAGAGGCTCAATGAGGAGGAGCCCACAGGTGGGCAAGACCCATGGAAATTGCTGAAGGAGCAAGAGGAACGGAAGAAATGTGTCATCTGCCAGGACCACAGCAAGACAGTGCTGCTCCTGCCCTGCCGGCACCTGTGCCTGTGCCAGGCCTGTACTGAAATCCTGATGCGCCATCCTGTCTACCACCGCAACTGTCCTCTCTGCCGCCGCGGCATCCTGCAGACCCTCAATGTCTACCTCTGAAGACTCCCTCCCTGCCTGTACAGCTCTCCACACTCCACGCGGGCACCCATGCTAGGGCAGCCTTCACACCTCATCTCTGGGTCCTGGCCTGAATCCCCACCTCCCCACGTGGCTGTCATGTCAAGCCTCCAAGCCATACGCATCCAGGACATTGAGATGGGATACGGCGGAAGACTGCGATCTGGGTGGGGGGTGGGTGACAGAGCTTTCCCTTGCCCTGTGGGCCCCTTTGATGCTGACGGTGGTGAGTATGTCACTGTGCAAGGGCCCTGAGACTTTTCCCCGTGGGCTGTCCTCCAGCTTTCCCAGGGCCCGCCAGATGCCAGCTTCTGGGGCTCCCCCTCTCTGCTTCTGGTTTTTCTGTTGGGGATTTGTAGGTCCTTTTCCTGCCTCATTCCGACTTCTCCCCCAGCTTCTGCAGCCGTAACACATCAGTGTCATTTGGGTGTCAAGACCTTGGAATGATCTTGAGCCTTTGTGTTCACCCATAGCCCCTGTGCCCTGGTAGGCTTTGGGGGAAGTATCCCTCAGGTGCCCTTAGAGCCTCTTCTGTGTGTCGTGATCTGAAACAAAAGCTGGGCGGGGGGCATCTACTCCTGGCTTTGGGACCATGTGCCCTCTGGCACCCCAGTTCACTGGGAGCCTCAGGAGGGATGACCAGACTTTTACTCATTTCCTTTCACTCCTTTTCACTCCCGACATCACATAGGAAAATGGCATTCCTATTCTGTCTCTCCCTGGCATTGTGGAGGGCAGATTGCACATTTCACTAGGGTCCAAACATGGAAGGGGCCGGGGCCTGTTGCACAGCTCCCCGAGGTCCGTCTGGCCGTTTCCAGTGAATAAAGTTCTGTTGACCATTCTGAAGGTCTCTCTGTGCATCCCTGCAAGGGTCAGCAATTGGTCAGGGTGACAAGTGCTGTATCAGGGTCCCTCAGTCCTGCTGGGTCTGTGAGGACCTCGGCTTAAACTGGGGGATGGGAGAAGAGCTAAGATAGGGTGGGAAGAGTGTGCCTTGGGGAAAGCCCATGCCAGGCATGGTTGGATTAGCTCTCATCCCCTCCAACTTGCGCCTTCTCACACACATGGTTTTTGAAAAGCCTTCTTTATCTTTTCATTTTGCTAGAATGGAGCCCTCATACAGAGGAATGTGAGCTGTCTCACCCCTGAGCAAGCCTTCCCAGCTTTTCCTCTCGGCCACTCTTCCCAGGAGGGAACTTGGGGTGCCTGTTGCCTGGAGCCCTCTGGAATCTACCCTCTGATCCCAGAGGAGCTGGTGCTGGTCTTTGTGTTTCTTGGCATGGAGTCTGGCGCCGAGATGGCTGGAGTCTGGCTTCGGGTCCTCCTGGTAGAAGGCTGGGAGCTGAAGCCCAGGCTACCCAAGGCCTGTCTCTAGCTCACATTTGGGGCCCAATCCCCTTCGGTCATATCTGCCCCCACGTGACCAACGAGAGAGGAGGGGCACTCCCCTATAATTGTATGTTACATCTAGGAGCATAATGCTTGGGATTGCCTTCTGGAGGTGGGGGGAGGGAGGCAAGTAGGTCACGAAGAGACTGTTAGGCCCCTCCACTTTCTCTGCTTGAAATGCTGAGTCGACTGTGGGGCTGGCAAGCCCTGGTTTGTTAGTCATTGGTTTGGGGGTGGGGCCCGGGCTGGGAGCCTTGAGGGGCTTTGTGGCCAGCCTGACATAGTAGCTCAGCCCACCCAGGCTTTGCCTAGCACAGTGGGGGAGAGTTCCACGTCTCCACCTCAGAGTTGGGAGGCCAGAGGGCGGTCTTAGCACTTTCTGTTCCCTTCCCCCAGTCCTGGAGGGGGAGCTGAGCAAGAGAGGGTGGCTCCTTCCAGTCTCTGTTTAATTTGGGGATAAACATTTTTTGAGAGAAGATAAACTTCCTGAGCTGGGAGTAAAGGACCCCCTTATCTTCCACCCCCATCTGGAATTCCTCTGGCCGACCTCAATACCCTTCCTCCCCCTAGCCATCCCAGTATCGGGAGCTCAAGCTACTCAGGGTCGTGGCTGCATTCTGGAGTTGGGGCGCCCCCTTGTGGTAATCTCAGAAACTTTACTTCTAGACACCCAGGGACACTCCACCTGGCATGGGTGACAGAGAAATAGCTTTCCAGGCTGTCATCTGGGAACCAGACAAGCAGCCAGAGAAGCCATGAATGAAAATCCTTGGCTTTTTGTTGTTGTTGTTGGACTGAGGTAGGGGTATATGTGGTGAAGGCAACCCCCACCGGGTTCGTTTGGCATCTTTAGAAAAAGGTGCCCCTTTCTGTGGGTGGCCAGAGCCCTGCACCAGGAGGGCACCCTGCTCAGACAGTCCTGTTCAAAACCTACACAGCCCGGGTGGCAGCTCTGTGGGGCAGACTCTCATTCACCTGAGCCTACTTCCTGTATCTTCCAGTATCTCCATCCTACCCAAGAACCCTTCCTTGGGGCCCAACGCCCCCATCCACACCATGATCCCAGAAACAGGGCACCTCCATCACAAACAAAGAAAGGCAGAAGGCAGAGGAGGGTTTTTAGATTTATTGAGTGATCGCAGAAAAGCGCCGGCCCCAGGAGCAGGAGGGATGGGGGAGGACCCAGAGAGGCAGAGGGTCAGAGAGAGAGCACCCCTCCTTGGGGTCCTGGGCCAGAGCAATTGGGGGCCCCTCACTTGCCAGCACAGCCCACGCCTTTGGTCTCGGGCAGAAATCCAGCCACTGCCCCATGCTGCTGGACCTGATCTCAGACAGCTCCTATCCCCATTCCTTGCCAGCAGTAGGACTGAGAGGCCCCTACCCCGCCTCCCTAGTCATTCACGATATTCCAGGGGGGCCAGCCCTCCCGGGTGATGTCGCTGTCAGTGCCACACCCTCCTGCTCTAGGAGTGAGAGAGGGTGAGCTCACTTCACCAGTGAGTACTAAGCAAAGACTGGGGAGCTGTGCCAGTCAGAGTACACGAGAAATCCAGAGAAGGTGCTGTCTGTCTTGATGCTGGCGTAGATGCCAATGTAGTCACCCACGCCCACCTGCACCCACACCTGGTCCTCGGGCTCCAGCCTTACCATGGCGCCCCCCGAGAGCGAGGCTGGCTTGGGCCAACCCCCGAAAAACTGGAAGAAAGAAGCGATGGATTCTCCGTTCTTGACCAGATCGAACTGCAGGCTGGCCCGGTAGACGGTGGCGTGGACGGCGAAGTAGTAGACCCCGGGCACCTGGCAGGTGAACTTGCCGGTGGCGGCGTCGTAATGCCCCTGCTCGTTCACCAGCACGCGGTCGAAGGGCAGGGGCGCTTCGGCCGGCGGAGGCACCCGGCTCTCGGACCGCTTGGCGCTGAAGGCGGAGCGCGGAGGCACCGAGCACTCCCCGGCAGGCCCGGGGCCCC